GTGGCAGGGAGGGTGAGGTCGCGGGCGGCTATGTGGGAGAGGGGCCGGGAGGCGAGCGGACGCGGGCAGCTGGCAAGGTCTCTGCTATGTTTTTGGCAGCTGTTTGAGTTGCGCGCACGTTGCCGGCGTTTTCGCCTCCACAGCTCACTCTCTGTCCACCCTTCGCCCGCCCGCGCCCCCCTCAGGTGCACGGCGACGTGTTCCGGCCGCCCCAGAACGCGTCCCTCCTCTGCTCCTACATTGGCATCGGGGTGCAGCTCTTCGGCATGCTGCTCATCACCATGACCTTTGCCCTGCTGGGCTTCCTGTCCCCCGCCAACCGCGGCGGCCTCATGACTGCCATGGTCATGATGTTTGTGTTCATGGGGCTGTTTGCCGGCTACGCGGCGGCGCGGCTGTACAAGCAGTTCAGGGGAGAGGAGTGGAAGGCCATGACGCTGCGCACAGCACTGCTGTTCCCAGGTGCGTGGCGTGCGGTTTGTGGGGGGGTGGGTGGGTGGCAGGGCAGGGCAGGGGCCAATGAGGGCGGCGGAGCGGGCAGGTGTTGTGCAGGCCGGCACGCACGGCCGCCGGGGGGCTGTCAGGTACAGGGTCCGCATGTGACGTCTCGCGTCGCGCTGACACTTGTCCCGTCCAGGACGTCGCGTGTAAAATCCCGCCGACCATTCACCATTGTACCTTCTGAATCACTCACCGCCAATCCCGGCGTCACCTCCCCCTCTAGGCGTGGTGTCCCTGATCTTCTTCGGCCTGGACCTGCTGATCTGGGGCCAGAAGTCCAGCGGCGCCGTGCCCATCGGCACGCTGGTCGCCATCGCCTTCCTCTGGCTCGGCGTCAGCGTGCCCCTCACCTTCGTGGGCAGCTACTTTGGCTTCAAGAAGCCCGCCGCGGAGGACCCCGTGCGCACCAACAAGATCCCGCGCCAGATCCCGGAGCAGCCGTGGTACATGCACCCCGCGTTCAGCTGCCTCGTCGGCGGCGTGCTGCCGTTTGGCGCTGTCTTCATCGAGCTCTTCTTCATCCTCACCTCGGTGTGGCTGCACCAGTTCTACTACCTCTTCGGCTTCATCACGCTCGTGTTTGTGATCCTGTGCATCACGTGCGCCGAGATCACCGTCGTGCTGTGCTACTTCCAGCTCTGCAGCGAGGACTACGTCTGGTGGTGGCGCGCCTACTTCACGAGCGGCAGCAGCGCGCTCTACCTGTTTGCGTACAGCGCGTTCTATTTCTACAGCAAGCTGGACATCACCAAGTTCGTGCCCATGGTGCTCTACTTTGGATACATGACAATGGTGGGGGCGCAGGGGGGGCGG